CTGGGGGAGCAGGCAGGGGATGGGGCCTAGCAAGGGTCCCCCCATGGCCCCTCCCCACCCCCTACTTACCAGCTCCAAGTTTGGCTCCAGCTCACTGCTGCAGCCACCAGGAACTATCCAAATCATTGAAGCTCTTTGAATCTTTTCCAAAGACTTGGAAGAGCTTCAAATCAATTCGGACCTTTTTACTGGTCCCCTGATTTGATTCAGATTTGGAGATTTGGCCACCAAATCAGACCAAATCTCCTCAGAATTGAATCAGCACCTGAAGTTTTGCATAGCCCTAACATGTAGCAGAAAGTGTGACACAACGCTACTGCATGGTAGTCTTGAGTCATTGCGCAGTCAGCGTCATGAAAAGTGACACGATGCTACTATGCAGTAACAACTCTGCAGTCTGCGTTTTATGCAGATGCGGCCAATGTACCTTAGCTTGCGGGGCTAATGGCAAGGACAAATAGGTTGAGTATTTTAATGTGTTCCAGTGCTTTTTGGACAATGTTTACTGAAACAAAAAGGATTACAGTAGAACTCTTGCCCTTTGGTGTTAGCATATAATCTGATTCACAGTCTAAACTAATGGAAACAGGTGACTGGGGGAAAATTTTTACTGTGAGTGCCATTAAAGAGGAATCAGCGCAGGGAACAGCTTCTTATAAAGGCTGTAATTCAGGACCTATGCCATCCTGTACTATTCTTTACCCTCCCGTCTGTCAATGCTGGTATTCCTCTCTGTAGTCTAGGCACTAGTTTGCTTTCCTCTTCAGCAGATGCAGTCCATGTAGTGATTCTAGTCTCATCTTTGGTCCTAGCAGAAAAGCTGACCTGCAAAAAAGAGATTATTTTTCCATCTCTATTTCTGATTCGAGAATATTTTAAATGGGAATCCACTGTCTAGGTCTGTTCTGCAGTCTTGATTTAGAAGGGTTGTGAACTTCATCATCGCCTTCAGTAATAAATGAGAGGAATTGGAATTGTGGTTTGTGGGCATAATTTTTACCTATTTGACATTAACGAAATCTGGAAAGAAGACGTTCAGTACCAACAATAACCACTGTTGTTTGACGTTCTAGAACTGAATGCAGGGGTTTTTTTTGCAGTTTTATGTTTTGCCACTGTGGCGGGTGCAGAGATCCCACCTCACGAACACAGCT